TCTGTTTCTTGGATGGCGAAGGCTCTTGGCCTTAAGGCCGCTATTTTGAACTTATCGAAATAATGGCGTTTGAGTTCGACCGAGGTCGAACTTTTCTATCTGTTGATGGCGAAGTCTCTAGGCCTTAAGGGCGCTATTTCGAACTTATCGAAATAACGGCGCCTAAGTTCGAGCGAGGTCGAACTTTTCTATCTGTTGATGGCGAAGGCTTTTGGCCTTAAGGGTGCTATTTCGAACTTATCGAAATAACGACGTTTGAGTTTGAGAGAGGTCGAACTTTTCTATCTATTGATGGCGAAGGCTCTTGGCCTTAAGGGCGCTATTTCGAACTTATCGAAATAACGACATCTGTGCCTTTTCGGTGTTCGCATATTGTCGTAATGGTATCAGAATTAAAATGCCGATAGGTAAACGAAACGTTGCTTTGTGCGTGTCACCATTATGACATGTTTCCAAGGAACTGAAACGTGTTTCATCATGTTCAAATGGCGACTCTTGGGTTTCGAGCTCGAGGGATTTGTGTCTCTTATAAATAGGGGAATCTGGTTATTTGCTTCTCACACTTCAGTGTTCATTTTAAGGGAATTCCCCTGATATTTTCTTTTCTGATATCTAGAGTTTTTGCTTACTCTCTTGCTTGTTGCGATCCTTAATCCTTTCACTTCTCCCGGCAAGTTCTTTTCCCCTTTTGGCTAAAAATGGTCGGTGCTTCTTCCCGTGACCATCTCCCTGTTGCTCACCCGGTAACTGAAACCCGGTTCAGGCTACTGGGGAATTGAACATGGTGGAGGAAGAGGAGGTTCCCAAGGTAGATGAGATCCTACCCCGCCCTGGGAGGGGGGCGATTGACTTCAGTATCGACGGTGGAATGGAACCAGAGAACATTACTCCTGTTATAAGAGAGAGGGATCGTGGATTTGAGGGAGCGATGGGGAATACCTAGATTAGTCGAGATACAGCCGGCGGGGAGGAACGATCGAGTTCAGTACGACCGCCCTGGTTTTTGTATGTTCTACGCCTACCCCTTCATCGTAGGGTACACACTCTCGCTCCCTATGTTAGTGGTGGATTTCTGCCGCTACTATGAGGTGTGTCCTGCTCAACTCTCTCCTTATTTATACAAGTTGTTTCTCATGCTACTCAAATACGTGGAGCTGGCCGGTCGTGAGGTCACTCTGGGCCACGTGCTTAGCCTTTTTGCTCCCCAACTGATTCGAGGCACGATGATTCACGCGCGTCCTCGGGGATCGAAAGGTCTAGTAATAAAGATGGATGATAGAACCAATCGTCGCTTTTATGAGAACTTTTTCTATGTGCGGACCGAGCATATCGTGGCGGACCCGATTGGATTCCCTAAGAGATGGAATTTTGCCCGTAAGTCTGCGTCTCTGACTAATGGAGTGTTCGATTTCTCTTTTTCCTTCCTTTTCTTTTACGTTGCGGATACTGAATTGCCTTGTTATTCTACAGTTGAGAAGTTGCCTCCACCACCTTTTGAAGGGATTCATGAATGGGTGGAGCCGTTCTTCCCCACACAGTGGGGGTTCTCACCTGGTCGACTTTTCACAAAAGGTTTGGACGTAGGCCCCTTACAGGTGAGATAGCGTCCTTATTTATTATTCTCCTTTATTCGTTTTTCATCTTGTCTCTTATACCTTGTTTGTCATTGTCAGGGAGAGTACGGAGAGCCAGGGCTCCTCAATTGGCTTTTCGTCAGCCGACTACATCCGCTCATCTTGTTGTGGTACCTGCTACTCGTCCTTCATCAAGGCAGCTTCGATCGAATTTGCGGCCTTGGTTGCCCCAGCTAGGACTGCCTCCTAGGATGAGGTTCATACTACGAATGAATCACCAACTAGGGAGGAGGAAGGGCCGTCGAAGAGATGGAGGGTAGAGTTCATGGTGGCGCCTCCAACAGTGATTAACCTGGACGAGTCTCCCCCGACGGGCTTAGGGGAAGGTGTTGCTACGGCATCCTCCATAGAGGCGGATTGAGTTGTTGAAGCAAACGCCGGTGGTAGGTGCTTGGAAACTCCGGTCATTGCAACGGCTCAACCAGAAATTCCTGATGTTACTGATGATCAGCGCCCTGCTGGAGCAAAGAACCAGACCTCCGGTGCCGCTATAGTGACTTCAAACATGTCCTCTTTGTCCGCGGCGGGTCAAACTTTTCCTTCCGCAATGGAAAAGGGGAAAGGCGTGGTGATTGATGAGTATGAATCCGAGTCATACCTGGATCCTGACGACGTCAGAATATTCGATGAGGGCCTTACTCATTCGGTGGTTCACGCCGGGGGGTCATCTCGAGTTCTCAAAATTCCTTCTGACGTGAATCTTTTGGTGTAGGGGTATAACTTGGTACCGCAATTTAGCCTGTTGTGCTCGGAAGCGGAGGATGAGTCCCTGCAGAGTATCCCTGATGCTGAGTTGAGGGATGAGGTGGCTGTTATGGCCTTGAGGGTATGATATATTTTTGGCTCTTGTTTTGGACTTTCCCTTTGCTTGAAAGCATTAGTTTAATCGCCTTTCCTTTTTTTAGACGTATATGGTGGAGGTGGAAAGTATCTGTAGGGCCAACACCCGGTTGAGGATCTTCTTGCAGATGTTAGAGAAATACAGTCACTGCCGCGACATGTGTCGTGAATTGCACGAACGGTTGAGGACGGACCCCCACAACCGGGCTCTGGGCGAGGAGTTGGAGAGGAGGGATCAAGAGCTGCTGCAGACGATCCGTAGTAAGAGCGAGCTCGGGGAGCAGCTCTGCCTCAAGGACGAGGAGCTCAAATTGGGCAAGGGTATCGCCGCAGAATGTGAGTATTTGCAAGGCAAGCTGAGGTCCATGCAGTCGAAGATGGATCAGAACTTGATCCGGCTCGAGGCGATGAGAGCGGAATGGACAGGAAAACTGACTGTGTTGGAGAATAAGGTCGATGGCCTGGAGAATATTGAGAGAGCCTGGTCTGAGGCTTTGGCGAGGGAGGCGGCTTTAGAAGAAACCATTCATGTGCTCCGGTCTGAGCAGGAATCCGAGAGGGCGACAGCAACCCTTATGGAAGCGAGGCTCGAGGAGCGGATTGGTACGATTGATCAGGAAACTTTGGTCATGGTAGATCGAGCCAGGGCCTGGAGGCGGAGAATGAGCGACTGAAGGCTCAAGCTAAATAGTCTCATGCTATTTTTCCTTGCCAGACTCATGAGCTCTGGGTTTATGCCGAAGCTTAGCGTGACATTTATAAGAGTTTGTTGGAAGCGGGCACCGTGACCGAGGCTGCATATGAGGAAACGCGAGCGAAAGCTCGTGAGGCTCGCATCAACTGTGGGTATGACGCGGTGACGCCCGAAACTAATGGGGGCACAGATGGTGATGATGATGACGGTGGTGGCGCCGAGTAAAAAATATTTGTACTTCTGTTTCATTTTCATTTCGTTGGTAGACTGGTACTTGTTCGCTCCCTCTCTTTTTTGTTGGCCTGGGCCTGTTGTAAGCGGCGATTGTCCGCACTCATGACTTTTCGATAACAAAGAGTTCTTCGACATTTGCCTTGTATCTCAATTTTTGTTATTAATTATGTGGCCTTGGCGCGAAATGGGAGCTCGTCTGACGAGTCCCGATCTTTTTTCTTCTGATGGCGAAGGCCCTTGGCCTTAAGGGTGTTATTTCGAACTTATCGAAATAACCACCCGTCGTGATTCGAACGAGGTCGAATCCTGCTTTTACGTTGATGGCAAAGGCCCTTAGCCTTAAGGGTGTTATTTCGAACTTATCGAAATAACCACCCGTCGTGATTCGAACGAGGTCGAATCCTGCTTTTACGTTGATGGCAAAGGCCCTTAGCCTTAAGGGTGTTATTTCGAACTTATCGAAATAACCACCCGTCGTGATTCGAACGAGGTCGAATCCTGCTTTTACTTTGATGGCAAAGGTCCTTAGCCTTAAGGGTGTTATTTCAAACTTATCGAAATAACCACTCGTCGTGATTCAAACGAGGCCGAATCCTGCTTTTACTTTGATGGCGAAGGCCCTTAGCCTTAAGGGTGTTATTTTGAACTTATCGAAATAACCACCCGTCGTGATTCAAATGAGGTCGAATCCTACTTTTACGTTGATGGCGAAGGCCCTTAACCTTAAGGGTGTTATTTCGAACTTATCGAAATAACCACCCGTCGTGATTCGAACGTGGTCGAATCCTGCTTTTACTTTGATAGCGAAGGCCCTTGGCCTTAAGGGTATTATTTCGAACTTATCAAAATAACCACCCGTCGTGATTCGAACAAGGTCGAATCCTCCTTTTACTTTGATGGCGAAGGCCCTTATCCTTAAGGGTGTTATTTTGAACTTATCAAAATAACCACCCGTCATGATTCGAACGAGGTCGAATCCTGCTTTTACATTGATGGCGAAGGCCCTTAGCCTTAAGGGTATTAATTCGAACTTATCTATACACATGTAATTTTTTACCCTCTCCAAGATTTTTTATATTTTAGTATGTAAATATTTAATTTAGGTCTAATATAGCTATTTCAACTCATTTTGACTCTTTTACTTTATTTTATTACAAGAAAAATGAAAATTACAAAAAAAAAATATTTTAGTTTATGTATTTTTCATAAATTTTTAAAAAATACAAAAATAGTACCTTATTTTTATCTTTATATAATTTCGAAAACACAAAAATAGTTTCATGTTTAGTTTAATTAATTAGGATTAGTTTTGGCATTGTGTAGTATTTCTATCGTATTTTAAAAAGGAGTAAATTAAGGTGTTAGATCACAATTTTAAGAGTTTTAGAGCCCAATTCTTGGCCAATACCCAATACCCATTAAGCCAACCCTAGGGACCATTCTAGACTCTTCTTTGGAATAAAAATAAATAAAAAGACCCTAAGGACTTAACACAAAAAGACCTAGGGACTAATTAGCAAATACACAAAAAAATACTCCTAAAACCTAGACCTATATTATAGGTAACACTACAATGAGCTAGAAAAGGAGGNCAAGCCATGCCACCTTCACAGAACCAGTAGCCCGCCGGAAATTAGCCATACACGCACGAAAATCAGAAGGACTGAAAAATCAGAAATCTGGAGCGTATCTTTTCAACAATAAGACCCCCCCCCCTTTTCGATCGTTTCTTCTCTTCTCCTTCAAAAGATCGGCGGATTTTCACCAGAAAAGGACCCTTCCTCATCCGTTTCTGATTTTCTTGATAAATAAACGAGAAGCAACATAAATTTGACCTTCCTCTCAGAAACCTAGACAAAATAAAGAACCTCAGGGACTAAATCAGCCGAAAACCAACAAAGAACACACACACAGTCACACGCCGGAGATTCACCTTCACAGACTCTTGGTCTCACACGTCCTTCACTCACTGTCGAAGAGAGCCAAAGTGGATTCGAATTATTTCTGGATTTGGAAACATAACCCTTCAAAAACTGAAAACAAAGATAGAAACAAACGGGAATTTCCCGATTTCATGGGAATTTTGTTAATTCATATGGTTTTCCAGTAAAGTTCAGTCCGTCGATGTCGATTCGAGGTCTGTTGTTGAGTTCTTGGTCGCGGTTCCTGTTGAATCTTGATTTTCAACAGTTGTTTTTCATTTCAAGTGTGTCGCCAAGTCTTCTTCTGCTTGTAATCATTTCAAACAGATTTAATCGAAAGAATTTTCAGACATTCTGATGGTAAATTGATTCTCAAGGTCACTGATGAATACGAGGTAAATATTCTTTTTTAAGCTGCAATTTTGCTATTTTTGTTCATAGTTTGTGCGTACAATGGATGCTGAATTGAATCTCAATTACTTCTACTACTGCAGCTTCTATCTTTGCATTGCAATCTAGTGCTAATGTTTGGGTTCCTTGTGTTGTCATTCTCTCTTGAATCTTATTGGGTGTATGTAAAAGCTGAAATTCTGCACGAGCTTTGCTGTATAATGACGTTCGTGTTTTATAAAGAAGCACAAATTAGCTTGTCTTAAGCTTTGATGATCGGAATCAATTAGTTTCATGTTTTGGCATCTGATACACGACCAATAGGGAGCTTTATTTGTTCTGAATGTTGGTAGTATTGGCCAGTTTATGTTGAATAGCCTGTTTGTTAATAGCGGTTCAACAACATTGAGATTCTGTTAAACTTTGAAATTTTGTATAGTAAGTGTTATATGTTCCTAGTTTGTTCTGTTGGCATTGTTCTTCCCTGCTAATTTAGTCACTAATAATATTATATTGCTTTGTTGGATTTGTTTGGTGCACATGAAAGTAGGATCGAGTCACGCTATTGGTTAAATGATGAAATAATTTAGACTTGCTTAGAGTGAACTTTACTTGATGAGAGGAGCTAATAGAAGAATGAAATGGACTGATAATGTTGCTCAACTTCTTATACAAGTAGTTGCATATGTCAAAGATTGACGGCTTTAACTATTGAATTACTAGTAGTTGAATACAATCTTTAGACATCGAGGCGCGCCATTTAGCAAATTTTCCATGGCCCTCGCAAACTTGAAAATGCATAGTTGCTTTAGGCGCGTAATTTAAAATTACCTTTCTAAACTCGGGTGTGCATTTCATGTGATCAAATCTTAACAATGTTGAATAAAATGTGTTTCGAATTGCGGGTGCATTTCATGTGGCGCGGTCCAAAGATATGTTTTAGACGACGTTGAAATCTTCCTTAAAATAATTAAAAGCAATTTTTAAAGTTAAAAAATGCACATAGGTTAAAAAGTGTTCTAAAATCAAGTAAATAGGCCAATTATAACAATTGAGCGACCGTGTTAGAATCACGGAACTCGGGAATGCCTAATACCTTCTCCCGGGTTAATAGAATTTCTTACCCGGATTTTTGTGTTCGCAGACTGTAAAACAGAGTCAATCTTTCCTCGATTCGGGATTTAAAACCGGTGACTTGGGACACCATAAATTATCCCAAGTGGCAACTCTGATTTTAATTAAATAATACCGTTTTGATTGTCCTTTAATTGGAAAAACTCCTTTATACCTTCCGGGGTGTAGGAAAAAGGAGGTGTGACAGCTCTGGCGACTCTGCTGGGGATAAGAACCCAGAACTTTTGGTTCAGGGTTCAGAATTCGAGCTTAGATGAATTGTTATATTTGCCTTTATCTATTATTTGATTTTATTACATGTTTTGGCCTAATGTGCTAAATGCTGCTTTTACCGCTTTGATATTATCTGAAATGTATATAAACTGCTACGAAACCCTTCTCTTCTCATCTTCGGAGATGTGCATGCTGGCCGTGACTCCCTATTCTGTTAGTGTCATACCTTGAAATAAGAAAGAGGCTCGGACAAGTTACTAAGCCGGATGGCCTTTTGGTTCCCGGTGTGTAGCCCCCTCCTCGGCTCGAGTTGTCCGCTCGGGTACACAAGTCTAGAACAATATACCCAGGTTTTGAACCTAGAATAACTCAGCCTCATGCCGTATCCCTAGTAGGAACATTTGTTTGCATCATGTGCATTTGACTTTGGAGACTCAACACAGGGGTTGGGTCTGTCTAGGACAGGTGTACCCAAAATGAAAAGACCATCCTGATGCATCCTAATGTGCTACATATTGCAATCTTCAAGGGTAAAAAGGGTCATTTGGCGGACCAATGATAATTGAGGACAAATGAAAAAAAGAAAAAAAAAGGGTGAAGTGTGAAGATAAAGCGAGTGGGGCCCAGTTATGTTTTCTGTCACATTTTTGTAAAGGAAAAAAAAGAGCTTGAAATTTTTTTTAAAAAAAAAAGAATTTTGCACTTTTTATCATTTTCCGAAAAATCAAAAAAAAAGAGAAAAGAAAATCCAAATTTTTTTTACATGTTTCATCATTTTTCGGAAAAAAAGAAAGAAAAAAATGTGTTTTCTATAAATTAATTATTTTTTTTAATTCTCGCCCGTATCCAATATGCCCGAACTATGCATACCTGATTCTTGTCTTTTGGGGCGTGATACGTAGGCAACCCACATAGGGTCCGGTCTTCCTAGTAAATCTTAGGTTCTTGGATTTGCGGGTTCTTAGCCAAACTTTGCACTTCTACCCACCTTTTGGCCGCATAAGTCATTTTGCAAAAAATAGCCTCAACCATGTCTTGCATGTGTCTAGTAGAGAATGTTATTGTCCCACATAGTGTTGGTTTAAGTTTTCTCATACATGTGTGGATCTACTTACCGGAGTTTGAGCATGACAGATACCCCAGAATCATTGCATTCAGGAGCTGCTCGAGGAGCCATTTTATGTTTTGAGTCAATTGGTCATGTTTTACTTCTAGCCCTGTATAGTAGTATCCAATCTTTTAGGTGATGTTAGAGTTTGTAATAGTCTAGTTAAGTTTTCCTAGTCTTTTGTTATTGTATTTCTTATTTTGTATTTGGAAATGTGTTACAAGTCAAAAATCAAAAAAAAAGAAAAAAAAAGAAATTTTGCGTTTTTATATTTTCGTTATAAGTTTTCTTTAGAATACTAATTCTAGAAAAAAAATTCCTTTGAGATTGTTTCTCCTTTAGGCAATTAATATCAAAATAAAAATCGTTTTTATATTTCCTATACTATATTAGGACCAAAATTCAAAAAAAAGAATTTTTTTTAATACCTCTTTAAAAGCTTTCTTTAAGGTATTAATTCCAAAATCCAAAAAGATTTTCTTTTGAGGTGTTTCTTTGGGAAATTAGTGAAAAATAAAAAAAAATCTTTTTATTTTCATTAGAACTTTAGGATATTGTACATAGAAAAAAATATATCTTATCTTTTGTTTATCATTAGACTTTCTTCTTTAGGCAATCAAAATTGAAATCCAAAAATAATTTGTTTTATCTTTTTCATTGCTTGTTTCGAAATCTTGCGTCAGGATATCAAATGAAAATTCAAAATATTTTTCTGTGGTTTATTCTTTAGATTTTCTTCCTAAAAACAAAAAAAGAATCAAAAAATATTTTTTCTCTTCTATGGGTTTTCCTAAATAATTTCCCGTAGAGTGTTTGTTTAGTCATTAAGGTAAAAAAAAGAAAACGTTAGTATGCTCGTTAAACTTGAGTTTGGAATAGGTTATAGAACATTAAGTCTAGAAAATTCAAAAAAAAAGATTTGCTTCTTTTATTTCTCTTTTCTCATCAGAGTAGTCATTAAGGTAAAAAAAAAGAACGTTAGTTTGTTTCCTTTATTCCCGATCTTTCAGAACTACGCAAAAATCTGATTCATGCGGGGTCATAATAAATAGGCAACCTACATAGGGTTCGATCGAATCATTTTTTAAATTATTAAAAGAAAGGAAAAATAAAAAAAGAAGAAAAAAAAGGGTGAAATTATGGGATGTGAGAAATGAGAAAGAAAAAAAAAGAGCGAAAATCAGAAAGAAAAAAGGGAAAGGAAAATGAGCGAGCTAAGAAATGCAAGGAAAGAAAAGAAAAAAGAAGATTCAAATGAACAAAACCGGGATGATGCCAAGTGACCTTGTGACCCTCGAAGTCATTCTAGAACCGTTAATTGTTGTTAGGTGCGTTACACGCAATGTGATATTTTTAGTTGTTAAATGCCCTAATGCTAACAGGATGACCCCATTTTGTTCCTTTTGTTATCTTCATTGAGCAGAAGGGTGGTTGGTTTGTGGTTTTTAAGTAACTCATCCATACAATACAAGGTCAAAGAGCAAGGCAGTCATGGCTAGCAAAGACTTGGGCACAGGGGTTGTTGATCCGTTCGAGGGAATTGTTGAATCAGAATCTGAGTTGAAAGAAGAGGTCTTGAGGTTGAAAAGACAGATGGCCGAAATATACCAATCTTGGATTAGTGGGTGCCCTCCACCATTAGTCCCCGATGGCCAACACTATGCTCCAGTACCAATTTTCAAGGTCTCTGGTCCATACTCTCACGCTCCTTATTTTGAGCCTCCCAGTGAGACTACAAAGCTTGTTAAGATAGTGGAGCAAGATGAGATATCCAGAAAGCTAAAAGGGTTTAAGAGGCCAAAGTTTAATTTGTATGATGGGCAGGGAGATCCAGCAGCCCACCTGAGGGGTTATTGTAGTGAAATGAGGAATGTTGGCGGGAAAGATGAGCTGCTGATGGTGTATTTCAATGAGATCCTGACTGGGGAAACTTTGGAATGGCATACTCGGCAAGATGGCGATAAGTGGCATACATGGGATGACATGGCTCAAGATTTTGTACGACACTTTCAGAACAATATAGACATTGTCCCAGACTGTTCCTCCCTATCTCAGATAGAAAATAAACCCAAGGAAAGTTTTAGGGAATTTTGGTTCAGATGGAACGAACAAGTTGCTCGGGACAGTCCTCCTGTTGATAGAAAAGATGTTGTTGAGCCTCGCCAACGACATGATCCAGTGGGCATTCCTGCTAGACAATTTCAGCCTCAATACCACCCCCATGAATATCCCCGAACTCCACATAATCCACCCCAGTGTTATCCTCCGAACAATGTCCGGCCATCTGTCCAACCACTGGGTCACTCTAAAAGGCGAGCACGAGCACCGCAGAATCCCCACCAGCCTCCACAAAATTTTCAAGTACCATATAACCCACATTCAAGCCAAGGGTATAGAAGGGAATAAAAGCTAAAAGATAATTTTACACAAATAGGAGGGTCCTATGCAAGTTTGTTTGAGAGATTAAAGCATTACGACATGATTGCACCTATTCCTCTAAATTATATAGACCCACGTGCCAGAAGTTTTGACCCTGCTAAAAGGTGTGAATACCATTCCAATGCCCAAGGGCACAATGTTGAAGATTGTCGTGCTTTGAAAAGGGAAATATAAAGAATGATTCAAGAAGGAATAATTGTGGTCCAAGGCAGTAATACCCCAAGTGTCACACGTAGTCCTCTACAGGTACATGACCACACACAGATTGTTGGAATGGTTGGCAATGACGAAGGGTTGGTCAAAGGAGTCAAGGAGCCATTTGGTGAAATTAATGATATTAAAATTGGTAATGGTTTTGGTAATATTGATGTGGAATTCAGTGGCTAAGATGCCGAGCTTGGTAATTGGAAAGACTGTCCTTTCTTGGCTAGCCAAGGAAGAGTCTTGATGGTTCATTTTGTTGTCATTTCTGTTGTCCGGTTTATTTCAGGGTTGTAATCTGGAAATTGTCTTGTAGCTCAAACCCTTCTATCCTTTTATTTTGCTTGGTTTGTTTAGTCGTAACAA